CCGGAACCACCACAGCCGCTGCAGCCGCCGCCACCGGAAGCGCCTCTCCGGAAGCGCGACCACTAGTCGGAAGCTGCCACTCTCCCGGATATAGTCCCTCCCTCCGCTCCACCGATCTCTCCCTTCCCCCACGCGAGCCTGCCGTGGGGCTCCTACCAGGGAGCGGAAGTATGCCTTCCCCGATCGGATGCGCGTTAGGGAGTTGCGCCGGGGTGGTGTCCTCCCTTAAATGTCCGATTAGAAAAATGAGCATCCGAGAATTGGTTCTTGGTCCAAAGAGAGCTAAAGTTGGACCCCAAACCTAAGAAAGCACCGCACCTTGCCTCATGCTGGCAGATCCCAAGTTTGCAGCCAGTAGAGAAGCAAACCCTTCTGAACAGAGGAGGAGGAGGCCTGGTTAGTGGCCAATTCTATGAGACCTTCCTATGTCTGACTCAAGCCAATTACCCCCTCCCCAACCCTGGTCTTCCATTTAGGGCAACACACACCCACACTTCCCATCTACTGGTACCCGCAGGTGATGCTTTTCCCCTTTCTCAATTAACGAAGAGCTAGGAATCTAACAAGCTATATAGTAAGATAAACCACCACAATATTTAGGTAGACATTTATGAAAAGGCAAGGACTACGGCCTCCACCTTGCCCCAGGGTAAGGGCTACACCCTCCACCTTGCCCCAGGGTAAGGGCTATGCCTTCCAGCTTAACCTTGGCCATGTGCTCAGCAAGGAAGCCAAGCCGCTGCTGGCCACACCCAGGACTTCTTTGAACTGGCCAATGACAATCAAGAGAAGTCGCCATAGATATGACCATTAATATCTATGTGGTCATATCTGTGTGACAAGACACCGACTTGTGCCTGGCCAATCGGCAGGGCCCACAGTCCTTTCTCCTCCCTTTACCCCAACCCCCTATAAAACCTCTCTCCACAGAGTTCTCTCTCTCTGCCACTTGCTGCTGTGCCAGTAAGGGGGGGCAGGGGAGCCAAACCTAGGTTTGAAATAAATGACTCTTTGCTTTTGCATCGGATTCGCTGGCTCCCTGGTGGACCCTTGGGAATCTTGAAATCTGGGCACAACATTTGGGGGGCTCGCCCGAGATTCCCAAGACCATCGAGGGGACCCCAATCTGAAGAGTCTGACTGACCGCGGTATGTGTGTGTCGTTGTATGTTCTGTTCAGTGTGAGCTCATTTGTGGAATCTTATTTTCCTGAAGGGTCTAGGCGGACGCGC